GGGGGAACAAAAAAAAAACAAAACAAGAACAAAACAAAACAAACAAACAAATAAAACACCACAGAAAAGGAAAAAAATAAAGAAAAAAGAAGATAAGCTTATTTATTTGGCAAAATCATACTGAATTTTAATGGAAGTATAAGTGGTGAGATTCTTTGGTGAAATGTGAAAATACTTAAGTTAAAAACTTGCATACAAAATCCAGGGTTCTGTCACTCTGAAAACTTAACTGAAATGTGAAGATAGGATTGACCTTTTTCAGAAGTCATATCAAATCAAATAGCTCATTCCCAATGCATATATTTAGTTTCAGTACCAGGGGGAAAGAACATTCTTTCTTATTTTCTGTTGGCTATTGTTCATTTTTGTAACATTTAGTATTTCTAATGCCTGATGCGATACCCTTGTGCTTACCTGTACTATCACAGAAGACAAGTGTAATGTTAGCTGAAGTTCAATGACACCAAATAAGGTTTTGTTTGCCTATTTTCCTCAAGTCCCATGTCATGATCCAGAAACCTTAATTTAAATTAAAGGAATTTTTATAAAATTTATTAGTGGACATAACATTACCTAGAGAGTTAGAAGAGATAAAAAAGCTTCCCTTTTTATCGCAGAGGTGAGTTTGGTTTTGGTGCACTTTTATACAGTCGGTAAAGAGCATTTTTTAATTATCTGATCTCTGACTGGCATTAGCAGAGTAGTAGGGAAGGATGTGAAATTGCTAAAAGACTGGAACATTGCCAAAAATGCTGGCTTAAAATGTCTTTGAGATCCATCATTTAGATATGTGCATATCTAACATAAACCTTACTAATTCCATATAAACCTAAATTTTGCTCAGTTCTGTTTAGTAACGCTAAAATCTGTCTTCCATGAGTCATCAATGTTACTAGTATTATCAATCCACCTGGAAATTTTAGTAAGAAAGACAGAAAGTTATTTTGATGAGACCTATATTTATATGGATGAAACGAGGTTAAAATGAGTGAGGTTTGAGTGAACTAAAACTGACAGTGTGATACAGAGAAATAAAAGCCAAATAAGTGTATTCTGTTTCAATGGAGCTCACTGTAACATATGCAATGTTGAAAAATGTTCAATGCACATAGTGAAAGGATTTAACCTTTCCTAGATCTCTGTCTGTTATGCTTCAAACAGGTTGGGCTGGATGACCTCCAGAGGTCTCTTCCAACCCCTATCATTGTGTGATTCTGTGTGATTCTGTGAATTATCCATTCTACCCAGTCTTAGACATGATGGATTGTTACAAGGATACGATCAGTGTTCACTACATTGGAGTTAATATGCTAATAAAACCATGTAAGTGCTAGGTATATTTACTTCAGCTTCATGCCATGCCTTTTTATTAGCTTGGATCATGAAAAAAAGTAGTCTTGCGTAAAGCTAGTGGAACTATATGTATATATTTTCTAAGACATTCTTAATCAATGGTAGTCATAGCACAGAAAGGAAATTTAAAATCATACTAGGTACGTGTGGATTTTTTAATAAGAATTGTATGCATAGATGTATCTGTCATCAAAATGTATGACATATCTGGCTACAATAAATTCCCCATTTGTTAAAATTAGAGAATAATCTTAGCTTCACTGTTGTAAATCTCAAGAAAATCAACATCTAAATTTCTGTTAATCTCAAACAATCCCATTATCTTTGTAGGATGTTTCGAGATCCGTAAAACTATATGAAATACCACAAAGCAACTGGCTTTGAAGATCTTCAGGCTATTCAAATACTTGCATGCTAGTTGAAGGGCTCTGCTTACCAAGGCACCCCTGACGTATTTATATTATTTTGCACGGAGAATGTAAGTAGCTGCTTCTGAACGTAATCACCTCACATGAACTTTACGTCGTTCATGGCCTGTGATGTGGAGATTATAAGAGAATGTTCTTTATTGAGGGGTAACCCAGTCATCATCAAATCTTGCTGAGCTTCTGAGATAACATTCCTACTTTCGCTGCATTTATAGACTAATAGTTTTGATCTTCCAGTTCCTCAGTTAACACACAATACTTCTCAAAGCCTAGTGGGATAAGTATTCTGTCATATGTAATTTCATTTTCTGTGTCTATGGATTGAAATGAAACCAAATTAAATGAAAACTTCCAAAACTAGCCAAAGAAATTGTTGCCTACTATAATGCTTCCTGTATTGAAATGAGAATTCAGAAGGACATTCTGTTCTTCTACAGACCACAAAGGAAGGCCTACCTTTAATGTATTAGCCTCACAATCTTTGGAAGTATCTAAAAGAATGCCACATAGCCACTTCAGCCTCTTCAAAAAGAAAATCTTTTTAGAAGTAGTATTCAAACACACTATTCTGTAACTAAGATGTAACTGTCCCAGGAAATTCTGACCCAGGAAAGCTGGAACAACAGATGCTCAGTGACTGCTCAGAACTTCTTTGACAGGAATTGTAGGCCTCTGCTACTATGAGCAATGCCAATATGTTTTCTTCATAAACTGATTGTTACCTTTTCAAGACAAGTCCCTTTTTGCCAACTCTTGACTGTATTTGGAAGACTATTCACCAAGTAATGTCGATGCTCATTAAAACCTTTCTATTAACTTTAGTGTATATATATTCACAGACAGTTTGTACCTGTTTGCATTTATATAGGTGATTGTTATTCTTCCTGAAATGGCCACAGTCTAATCAAAGTAAGCCCAAGAGCCCTCAGTCTGAATGCACAGGATTTATGCAAGTTACATCACTGGATCCTGAAGTCCCACGTGCTGTGGTTCATCATCTCTTCTAAGAGAGTTTTGGAGGAGGCTGATTATTTAGCTATTTCAACCAGCCAGCTGAGTCAGGTTCCCTCTTTCCTGCTCCATATTACACAGCACAACTGACATGAGCTACTGTAAGTTTTAGAAAAATTGTGTTGCCTATTTGTTTTTAGCAGCTGTGTCAATTGCTTACTTAACTGAAACTCACAATTTCAAGAATGAAGATAAGCAGTCCTCTACTCCACAGATCTGATCTGCCCAAGAACTGATCTAGCTTTTTACCTTCTTTCAGATTTCACTTTTTAAATGCATAACAGATGACTGGGGGTTGACAAAATGTAGTAATGGAAGAGCAGTTCATGAACATTTACAGGAGCTTCCTTTGTGATGAGGCATAGTGGGCCTCAGTGTCCACTTGTTGAATGCTTTTTGTCATGGATGGCTCAACAGCACCACAAATTCCTCCTCAAAATGCCTATGATGAGGCAGGCAGGTGATACTATCACATATGTGTCTAAATGAATGTCCTAATTAACAAAGCATAAAAATAACAACAGTTCCTTGAAATCAATAGCAGACTTTAGGTATGAAACCCTAATGTTGGAGCCTTTCCCTGGAAAAATAAATTTCTTCCAAGTAAACAGATACTAACATTATAAATGAAAGCATATCAAAGTATATATATACGTCAAAATACTGATTATTATAGACATGCTATGCTAGAATGCTCTCCTGTAAGCTGGACAAAAGAGGGAAAAGACATCTAAAAGCATTAGTTATAAAATTTGGGAAAAGCATTACATTTTTCTCTTCCCTGTATCAGAAACTTTACATTTCCCTGTTCATTCCCTAGTTTGTGCCATTTTAAAAGAGCAATTGCAATCAAAGGTACACATGACCTTCTTTTGTCCTCTAAGGTGATTCATGAAGTCCTCTGGTGCAATGCAGCTGGGTGCAGCAGACAAAAGGTTTTTGAAGCAAAAACAAAAAATAAGACGGTAACCCATTTACCTAAGTATAATGGTGTCATACTAAACCAAAGAAAATTCCTCTAGCCATGTGTGCCAATGCTGGACACATGGATCATGTGAGAACATCAGATAACCCACAATAAAACTGATGTGGTTTACAACTGAAATGGCAAGTGTAGTAAAAATCTGTGGATAGTTTTCTAACCTTTGGGCATTACTTCCAATTTAGGATTGTCCCTGGCATTGACCCATAGAGTTTTTTTTAACACATTGCTGATTTTCCACAGGTAAAAAAAACTGTAAAGCTTAGTTCTTACATCAGTGCAACATTTGCCTCCCAAAACATGCAAACTAGAGCATATAAAAATTACCTGGGGTGTGTCTATGGGTATTTATGTGTGTGTGTACACACAGAGGTGCACTACAGATTGCCAAGAGTTTCTTTGCAGTAGGATCACAAAGTTCACTACCTAAACTAGAAGATCAGGCTTTTTCTATGCCTGATTTGGGCAGGAATGAGGCCAGAAGAAATAGGAAGGAAACAATGTAAGAGTTCTAGAATATGCAAATTACAGAAAGATAGAAAGTCAGGCAACTAAAATAAAACTGCACGCTTCTGAATCAATGCAAAAGAGCTAAACTTCCAAGGGAAATGCTATAGGGTAATTGAAATAGAAGAGCTGGCACAGCCAATGAAAGAAAACACAAATAAATAATAAATGGGTCCCTGTGTCAGGTCCACAGCATATAGATTCAGGAAACCCCTTTGGGATAGAGAGGGAGGAATTCTGCAGTCATTAAAAAAACCCCAAACCCCAGCATTAAGTCAGTCAGACCAAGCTATTGCCCTAGAACATAGAACAGTGAGAAGTGATGAAAGAGATGTAGGACTTTGTCTTTAGTTTGCCCTTCTAAATTGGGAGAAAAATGTGAATTGTATTTTTGTTAGTGGGTTTTTTGATGGAATTAAACATGACACTGGAGCTCTTTCCTTATAAATAAAGAACCATCAAAGGGTGGACGTCCATGGAAAAGCAAATGGTTCCCCTTGTCTTTCCTGAAGGAATAACAAAATGGGGATAGTTCCCCATTTTGATACAGGAGAGGGGTAAAAGTTGAACACCAAAAGTAGGGATCACTAACTGAAAAAGGTACAGACAAAGCATCATTTGACTTTCTTACATTTTATGGCGGATTTTACATGCTAGAATTTGCAAATAGCTCACGTTGCTGCTGGATGAAACTAATATGACATGCCTGCTGGGGGCAGACAGCCCTCAGCAAGCCCTGCTGCAAGCCAAAGAATCCAAAGGATGTGCAGAACCGAGGATGTCAGGGCCCTCCGGGCTGCGGCGATGGGGAGGAACATCCTCCCGCCGGTCTCCGCGTGCGGGAGCTGCGGTTGCCGTGGGAACACGGATGCTTCCCATCGCATCCGTATAAACTGTGCTTCGCAATGCGGTCCTTACAGCCGTGTGGACCTTTTCTCTGCCATCGCAGGCGACTTGACAGACTTTGGGAGTTCTCCATGTTTGTTGAAAGGAGGGTGGACGATTCAGCCCTGAAATCCTTTTCTGCCCCGCTAGATTTATTATCTTGGGGGAGAAAGGAGGAGTAGAGGGGAATACAGCGTCCTCGCTATGATTTGAGCGCGCACTGCACGGGAAGGGCTTTCTAACCAGCCGGCGCTCGGTGCCAGGCAGGGACGCTCGGAGGCGCAGGAGGACGAGGCGCGGCCGCGGGGCCGGTGCGGGGCTGGCGGGGCTTTCCTGAGCCGATGCCGCCCCCTGGCGGGCGGCGGGGCGGGCGGCCCGGGCTGGGGGCTCCGGGCAGTTCTGCCTCCAGCAGTTCTCCTGGAGGGGACGGAAAAAAAAAACACACCAAAAAAACAGAAATCAAAACAAATCCTATAAATCCGGGCTACCCCTCTGCTCTCAGGGAAAACACCGACCTTTCCAAACGCAGAGCGCAGGCAGGTCGACTTAACAGAGGCAGCACTTTTCCTTTTTTGTTTGTTTTGTTTTACTTTCTTCCCCGTTATACATTCATCTGTGTATTTATAGCTTTGTTTGTATGCACCTCCCACCACTTCCATCCACAGGTGTTATGACAACTGCTAGTGCAGACAGAAAGCTCTGTCAGAGGTAGCCAGCATAGACGAACCTGCTGTGGGGCTACTGTAGTGTTTAATTACAGATTAGGGAAGCAAAAACACCCTGCCTTCAAACCTAACATTCACCAGGCTCACCCAGGCAGCTTGTTGGAGAAAGCACCATGTGTAAGAGCTTTCCTGTGACAGCACATTGTCACTGGTTTCAGGCAACAGCAAAAGCTGCCCTGCAGACCCAACTTGCATATGTTGTTTAGCTATTCTTACGATTAAAGAAATTGTCCCCTTGGTAGCAAGGCTCCAAGAAGGAAGGCATTCTGGAGCCAGACTGAGATTTCAGACACTGTTTTAAATCATATTACCCCACCTGGTCAAAGCTACAAAGGATGATGATGATCCCTGTCCTGCCAAAAACTTTTTCTGTTGCCTGAGGCAGGGTTCCTGTTGCTAGGACTTGACTTGGGTGCCTGGAAACCTCTGAGGGGCCTCAGGCAAGAAAATACCTGAAAAACAGGTAAGATTATGCCTCTCTGCTCTGCTTGTATCTATCAGAGTCCAGCTGGAGACCTGTAACTAGTAGATTCCCCCAGGGATCAGTGCTGGGTCAAATCATGTTCAACATCTTTATCGATGGCCTTGATGACAGGACAGAGCGTCTTCTCAGCAAGTTTGCTGATGACACGAAGCTGGGAGGATTGGCTGATTCAACTGAAGGCCGTGTGGCCATTTAGTGAGATTTGGACAGGCTGGAGAGCTGGTCAAAGAGGAACCTAATGAGGTTCAACAAGAGCAAATGCAGAGTCCTGCACCTGGGAAGGAACAATAAAACGCACCAGTACAGGCTAGGAAGTGATCTGCTAGAGAGCAGCTCCACAAAGGACCTTGGAATCCTGGTAGACAACAACTTATCCATGGGACAACAATGTGCCCTTGTAGCCAAGACGGCCAATGGTATCCCGGGTATGTCCAGCAGATTGAGGGAGGTTCTCCTCCCCCTCTACTTGGCCCTGGTGAGATCTCACTTACAGTACTGTGTCCAGTTCTAGGCTCCCCAGCTCAAAAGGGACAGGGATCTACTTGAGAGAGTACCACAGAGGGCTACAAGGATGATTGAGGGACTGAAACACCTCTCTCATGAGGAAAGGCTAAGAGACCTGAGGCTTTTCAGTCTAGAGAGGAGAAGACTGAGGGGGCATCTAATTAATGTCTATAAACACATGAGGGCTGGGCATCAAGAAGGAACTTGTACTTGTGCCCTGTGATAATAGGATGAGGGGCAACAGATTGAAACTCGAACACAAGAAGTTCCACTTCAACATGAGGGAGAATTTCTTTACTGTGAGGGTTACAGAGCACTGGAACAGGCTCCTGAGAGAGGTTGTGGACTCTCCTTCTCTGGAGACTTTCAAGACCTGTCTGGATGCCTTTCTGAGTGATCTGCCCTAGTTTTTGGTTCTGTTCTGGCAGGGGGACTGGACTTGATCTTCAGAGGTCCCTTCCAAACCCTAACATTCTGTGATAAAAAGGAATGGAAGGACTTAGCTGGTGAGAGACAGGAGCTATGAAAACTGTTGTGACAAAACTTTAAATATCATAGGCTGAAATGCCTCCAGAAGCCAACGCACTGCCTTCCCTAGCCCTGGCTGCACAGCATCACCATCTCAAAAACAACATGTGAGTTTGCACTAGAAGTCAGGGTTTATATCTTTCTGGCTCGCTGGGATAAAGATGATCTATTCCCATTATCTGGAAACCTAGGTTAAACATAAGCTGCACTCAGCAATTATTTGTAATTTGGATGTGCATATTCCAACAGCTGTGACACTGGATGATCTGAGATGTGTCCAACCTGTCATACTCTGTAGGCATTTCTTGGCTGGCAGCAGGCTTTAGGGCCACAGCAACAAGAAAGGCTGAAAAACAGCAGCAACAAGGATGTCCACGCTTTTGCCTCACCCATCCCCAGGCTGCAGGGGTCCAAGGAGCATGGAGTGGCTAGGGCAGTGGATAACTTTTTTTTCCCAGCTAATTTAATTTTTTCTATGGAAACTGAGTGCAAGAACTCCTAATATTTCATCTCAAGAGTAAATTCTATTTATTTGCTATGTTATTCACAATCCCCTGGGATCAGTAGTGCTCAGCTTTCCAGCTCCCACACGTCTGTGCAGCTGTACCACAGAGCTTGACAGCAGTTTGGGTACCACAAGGAAAATCACTGCAGAGTTACTGGTCTTGGAAGGATGACAAAGGAAAAAAATGAACATTAGTACAAAAAGTCTGGAGGATATAGCCATGGTACTAGAGGGACCTGTAAGCATTTTACACTGACTTACTTTTCCCCAAATGTAAAGGGTAATAAGGTACCACAGATTCAGTTCCAGTACAAACACTCACTTACCAGTGTTGAAAACACACCACAAGAGTGGAGGGTCTTCCCAAGGATTTTATTGCAATAATAATTTATTTCAGTGCCTTCACTGTTAGATAATAATAGCCAAAAAGAGGTACAAAAGGCCCAAGCTAACACTCTGGTTGAAATCTATTGCTCTGTCTAATCATTGTATAACCAGTCATAGCTAAACAATTCACCAGTGTGGCTATAAATTATGTGTTTACAAAAATAAAGAAGCAGTCTTGTGCATTCAGTTTTCTCATTGCATAATGTGGTATTTATAAGACACTTTTGTGTGCTTCTGGGTATTGCTTTTCAAGCTCCCAAACCTCACAACATTAGGATTGTCATTTTTTTCATCAGGTTGAGAAGCACTGACATCTTGTTTTGCTGAGTTCAGAGACCATTTGGGTGCATCTAGGCTGCATTCATTTTAGAGAAAGGGACCCAAACCATACAGAAGAGGGAAGATTTTGGAAAAAAAAAAAATTAAAAAAAAATAAATAAATAGACAGGTCCAGGACATCTGTGACCATTACATAATCAATTATCCTCCTTTACAAAGGTAGGAGGACTCACCACCATTCTGGGCCCTGCCCAATCAAGCCTCTGAAGCAAAATGTCCCCTGTGGCTTTACTATAATGTGTGGTTAAAAAGTTCCTGCTTTCCAGCCAACTGTGAACATAACTATTGCTATACATTGTGATTTGGCATCCTTTGGGAAAAAAAAAAAAAAAAAGACAGCAAATGCATGCTGATTTTTATGATTATTCATGGATTTAATATTTTCAGGATGAACACAGGGAGCAGCAGGCTACTAATCTCATCTATATGAACCTTTACATTACATGTGCTCCATCTCAGTCTCTTTGGTGATCATTATTGCTTTCCCTTTCTGCTGCTTGATACAGTGAAGTAGACATGGACACTTCGTGGTTCCTTTAATAGGCTCAGTGCAGAAAAGTGCTTTCAGCTCACGCATGCTTCTGTTGATTTCAGGGAAGAAAAAGCAAAGCTAAGGGCATCTGCACTAGTGACTGTTTGCTCAGTTTTTCACATGTTGCTCCAAATCCTTGTAAGAGTTAATTTATTTGCAATTCATGTAGGTCTGTAACCATACCCTCATCATAAAAATAGCCCCTTTGCCACAATTTGTATCTATAAAGAATGAAGCACATGGCTGTTTTCCCCATTACCTTTCATGCCAGAAATTGCACTTTAAGTGCGAACATAAAATTGCAGGAGAGAAGGTGAGGCTTGGAAGTCATCATGAGAAAGATAATACAACAAAGAGATTAAAGACTTGGCAGATTTCTATCCCTTTTTTTCTTTTTGTCTTTTTTTTTTTTTTTTTACCCTAATCAGGATGGTTCTCTTTAAGTGTTTCTGTGCACACCACACAGGTGTTTCACTTTTTCATATTGTTAACATTAAACATAAATTATTAAGCATCCATATGAAGTAATAAAACATGGCACTTAAAAGACACTTAAGTTATTCTGTATTTGTTGGTACAGTATGGCCCAAAAAAAAAGGCTCAGTTTGCCTCACTAGTTTTCCTGATCTGTGCCTATCATGCCAGCTGTGCCAGTGCCCAGGAGCCTTGTGAGCCACCAGCCAAAAAAGCTCTGCAGAGCTTCAAATCCAAGGGTCAGGCAAGTGAGTGAGGGGGATTGTGGTGTTGCCTGTTCCCTGATAAAGACATGTTTGTGTGCTGAGCCTCAGAGCTATTGAAGGAAATTTCATTCCTTTATCCACTTTAAGATCCGAGTAAGAGATAATTACCAACAAGCTGCTACCTCAAAGATTCCCTAAACATCTTAACATGAGCAAATTTTTCTAGACAGCTCTGGGCATTTGCAGCCTGGGACCTGTGTGCCTTTTGTAGCAAAATCCCAGATGAAAGCAAGGGTTGTCTGTCTCCTGTAACAAAGGTGTGAGCTCCCATTCGCCTACCTTTCCCAACACAGGCAGCATTGCTAACACACACCAGGACTCTGCAGAGGTCACAATAGCCAAAACACCAA